CCTGGGAGCAAAGCAGATTGGCAAATCTGGCGCAAGTAGTCTTAGCGAAAGCAGACGAACTGCTGCGTCCCCTGAAGAGGAATACCCCTATGAAAAATGACGGGAAAAGGCGGCACTGTATCCTGAAATTTTTGAGAAATTCTTCTCAGTTTAGACCAGAGTGGGCTCCACAGGTGGAAATAGAGTGGAGGGCGATGATGCGTATTGTCGTAAGGGCAACAAGAAAAGCATTTAGCAAGTGTAGAATCGGTCTAAATCTCTTGTGGTCCTGGACAAAAGAAGAGGAAAGAGCTCACAGAGGAGAAACCATACATGGAACGGAAGCTCCAGGCAGCAGCAGCAGTTTTCAGACTTCAGATGTCGTCCCTGAAGATGTGGGATCAGCCCTTACGAAGCTTTTGTACAAAGTGAGACGTGCGCGTGCAATCACTTCTATGTCTACAACGTTCTTGGCCAGTTGGATAAGAACATGTGAACAAACTGTGAACCAGTGCGCCTTCTCTAGGCCTGCATACAATGTCCAGCAGGCGCATGATACACTTTTGTCCTGTTCAGCTGCAGCAGATAGCAGAGGATAGCAAGGATGCACTTGAAGAACTGCTGAGGAGGCAAGAAACCGCTTTAAGGGGGGGAAAACAAGCGACTGCTCTGTGCACTGAAGCCAAGTCTAAGGGTGAATAGACGAAAAGAGCATACGCAGAGCATGCTGATGTTCCGTCTCGCTGGCGTAAATGGTAAATCAGAAATAGCATGCTGCGGGTGTCTCCTGCTTTCCTGTACACACTTTCAGCCGTAGAAGCGGCAGAACCAGAAGCTCAATCTCGGATGCTTTGCTGTAAAAAAAGTAGGAGTGTTTGGCGTTTCCCCTTCGCCTATCTGGTGTCATCATGGGCTCCATGCTGGAACGGCTCGTTCTGTTGCCATAATCTAGCTCAGCAGGTGGCTTGCCTTTTGCTTTGCCTTACGCACCTCCCTGTGCAGTCATGCATGCGGATTACACAATATTATTCCTTACAACGATCGCATGCCAGGTCTTCTTGCGGCACTGGCTGCGGAGGCCCTCTTTGAGGCCTCTTTAGAAATCCCCCGTGACCTGTGTAACAGTATCTCGATAGGACTCGCTGAAAGTCTCCCTGCGAGACCCTCTGATCCCTCCTTATATAATCGTTCATCGCCCGCAGCAGTTGGCCATAGAGGCGTCGCTGCCAAGGCCCTTTAAAGGCTCCCTCTCGGGTCCCTTTCTGGCTGCCATTCGAGTCCCTTTTCCTTGCTTTAGAGAGGCCTCTAAAAATGCCTTACCACAGGTTTCTTAATGGGCCATTTCCAAAGACACCAAAAGACGCATAGTTAGTTGAGGCACACCTGTAAAAGGTTTCGTCAAGCGAACCGTAGCTCTACACACCATTCTCTCTCTGTAAACACCAATTGCGGCCCTTCTTTTCTGGGCACTTCCGATGCACCCTCTCTAGGAAATGACTTAATCTCTATCCACTAATTATCCCTGCAGGAGCTCTTTTGAGGCCTTTGAAGGTCTCAACGAATCGCTCTGTAAAGCAGTTTATGAGGGCCTGAACCTGCTTTACAAAGCCATATTTCAGAAAGCCCTCCATAAGGGCAGCAATAAAGGCTTTGCGCTGCTCCTTTCAAGAAACTCTTTCATAGCCTGAAAAGGAATCTCTTTTAGGAACCCCTGCTGGAAACTCACGATTCTTTAAAGAGGTCCCTACTCCATGACTTGAAGCCGCAGAGCTCATGGCCTACACCCGTGCTTTCATCATTCCTGCAATGTTCTTTCTTCCCTCTGTCACGTTTCTGTGGTTTTCGGCTGGGCAGCTTCTGGACATTTCTCCTCTCGGCTGCGGCTTTTTCAAAGGAAGTCAGCTTTTACTGGGGAGCTCAATGCTCAATGGAACGCGGTCGGTGAATACGTTCTCCGATAAAAGTAACTTGAGTGACGGTAAAAGGCACGGTAAAAGGCATAGTTTTTTGTTCTCCGCCATATCTATACTTGAGGGGGAGCAGTGGGCAAATGCAGCACTATATTGTGGCCTTCTTTCCGTGTTTTTGGCGAAAGAAGGGCACGATATTGTTCGTGGGCCAGGAAATTGATACTTTGTGCTACGACGTAAATGAAGTGCTCAAAACGGGCGGGCCACACAACAGGCGTTTCCTTTGCTTTGCTGCTTGGCACTTTCCAGAATAGATTCTTCTGCTTTGCACACCGATCTCAGGCTCGTGAATGCTTTTTACTCCTTTAATGCATTCACTAGCTGAATAGACCCCGTGTGCTTCCAGTCGAAGGTTTAAGCTCTTGAGCTAAATACTAATATTTATGTTTTAATAGTCACAAGGGCGGCTGACATTAAGTTGTTTTCGGTGCATTTGCGTTGCATCTATGATAGATAGCCACACAGATTACTTTTATATTATGTCAGATACATACAGGTAGCCAAATCAATGAATGGACATAGACAGATATGCTTATATGAATAAGCGTTAATACGTTGCAGTATACAGATATTTCGTGGGATACATTTGTTGGATAAACTGGTGGATAGAGGCAGATGGAACTAAAAAAAATTTAGAGAAGTCGAGTCACTGAAAAGCAATCATACACTAGTTAAGGAACACAAAGTAACTAAAAGAGGACAGTATAAAAGGTCCATAAACCAAGTGACAGAGAGGTAAACAGGAAGCAAAACCCAAGCCCTAAATGACAAAATAGCAGCGCAGTGCGCCTGACACACGAAGCCATTCTGCATGCCTCTATCTGGAGAAGCAAACAGTATAACAACTTGGAGCAAGGCCAGTGAACCTCTACAGCCTGTAAGCTGATGGTTCAAACCTCCTTACATGGAACTTGAATGTTTCCAGCCACCAGCATCATGGCACTTTTTAAAGACCCTTTCTGTTTTTGTAAAGCTGTTGCCACTGTGCTAATTTCTTAAACGTCAAGCCGTACTCAGGTCATACCTGCTACATTAAAATGAAATTTCGAGCTACACACCGCCGCGAGCAGCAGCTAAGAGAGATTGCATTAAGCAAGGTAAAAGCCTTATTGACCATTCACAAATTAATTTCTATCTTTTGTTGTTCCATGTGGCGCAAGTCTACAAACGACGACATCGGATCAAAGGAACTCTTGCGGTTTAAAGTCATGGCGGGCATCACTGTCCGCCAAAAGTTCTATTAATTTGGCTCTTTTCATGATGAAAAGTGCTTTTGTGGCACTTGATGTGTGTTACGAGCAGATACAGCTTTGCAACCGCACACACGTAGCCCGCCACTACAGTGCCCCATAAATAGGGCCTTGTGCCATTCTGGACAGGCGCGCCGAGCAGCCCCAGCCATTACCTGACTTCTACAGACTTTGCCACCGATTTCACTTGCAGTCGTTACTTTAAGGGAGCCCCCGTAGGCTTAGCTCCTCTAGATACTTGCGCCAATTTTTGCCAAGGTGTATGCCCACAGCTGTTTGCGACCTTCCTCTGTGTTTGGACGTATCGCTATGCGTTGCGTGCCTCCACCGCGGGGCACATGGCGTGCCGTTAGACCCACTGTGGCCTGTAAATGGCTGCATTTCTTGTGCAGTTTGTACGTGCTTTGCTCTACCTTTTTCAGCAAAATTATCGCTGGGTCGCTGTTTCGCTGCGTTTAGCAAGCCACGTGCGACTTAGCCGGCACTTTCGCCGGCGACACTTTGGAGTGTTACGAAAATAATGCACAGTGTGTAAGGAACACAAGATGCAGCTTGGCTTCGGCATTTTAGGGGAGTGTACTTGTAACCCTTCTTCTTCAGTAAACACATGCTGGGCCGGAACTTTGCTGTCTTGCATAGTGCCTCTGTGGTTTGGAAGGCATTTTCCCCAGTGATATTTTTAATCACTTTAATATTTAGGAAGAATTCGCAGAATTCGAAGTATCTGCACTCAGAGACGGGCGGCATCCCCCACTCCTTCCAACATGGACGAAAATTCATGGTCTCTATTCCTGTCGCCACCGCATTGTATGTGCACTGCACCACGAAGCGTTGAAAAAATCGCTTATAGCAAAAACAAAATACAATTAGCGGCTAAAGTCACCGCGGAAAAGACGTGTGCCCACTTCTTTCTTGTGGCGATTCATCGATCGATGCAGGATGTATTGCTTGAGTCCCCACAATCACGTCCAAGCAGTTCATGCCATCGTGGTCCCCAGAAGCTGTTAAAGACCCATATTTGGCGCTAATTTGTTTCCGCTGGCTTTGCAGTGACAATGGTGTTTTGTTGTACATGGACTGTACAGCGTTAGAGAAAGGAATGTTGGCACGCCTGCACAAGCTCCGGCACTCCGTTGCAACGGTGCGCTTCCGCTGTTCTTATGAGAAAAGTGAAAATTTGTAGGTTTATTAAGATCTTAAGAGCATTGTAAGAGTGATAGAGTAAGTATATGCAGCGAAATATGTAGCTTGCTTGGCCTGCAATCCCGGCTGGTGGGGTGTCCACTTGAGCGATGATGCCACAAGGCCACACCAGGCCGAGAAGTTTGAAGCAAGTTAAGGGCTCCAAGCAAATCGTCTGTTTCGTTATTGAATTTCACATAAAATAGTTCTCTTGGCCCTCTGGGTCAAGAGCAGATTGCACTCAAAGAGTTACTTCTGGGGCCGTCTAGTCGGCATGGTGCCTTCAGTGTGGGCAGTGTGACTCACAAGTCATTGGTGTTATCCGGCACTATTTTTCAACTCTTTTAGTACGCTACCGTATATTTCACGCATTTAGTGTTGTTGAAAGATCCATGAGACCCACAGCCGCCTTCACTTTGTAGAATTCACCCACCACTGCACGGAGACTGTGCAGCAGTGAAGAATTGAAGTTCCTGTGAGAGCCAGTGGCCATCTCCATTATGTCAGACAAATACGGTTTCTTTTCTCTTCTTTCATGAGATCATTTTTTTTTCTGAATGCAAGGTATTTGAGCTGTTGTCTGAACCACGGAGGGCCAAGTCAAACTCATTTTGGCTTCATGAAAACTACGAAAGCATCAACGTCGCGTTCTGCAGTGGTGGCCAGCTCAATTCATAACTCTTTTTCCCAAAATGGGACACGTCTTTCTTCCGCCCGAGACCGGCTGGTCACCCCTGGCTTATTTTGCCTCTTGTGTTTTTTGGTACTCGCTGCAACAACACCGGTAGCGTTGGCAGCAACAGCAGAGACCCTCTGGATGCCACAAGACATCGCTGTAGCCCACACGACAGGCACATCTGCCATAAAGGACGGCAAGCTTCCCACAGACGACAAAGACGGGGCAGGATACGTTCCTGTGCATTGGATTGAGGGAGCAAGATTTTCTACAGGGCATGCGGCAGCAACCGCAAAAAAGAGGCAACAAAGCTTTTTCCGACACCTTTCAACGGCGGTGCTTGTCTCTCTTGCCTGCCTTGCAGTTGCATTTGCAACTATTCATTGTGCACGGAAACTGCTACTTGTGGGGACCTCGCAATACACAACAAGGTCATTGGCTAACGCCGAAGGCGACGGAGATAGCTTCTGCGGCTCAGACAGTGGAGATTCGGATGAATATTCGGAAGAGACCTCAGAGTATGGAGAAGCTGCGGAGCCAGGCGAGGACGGAGCGAGCATCCTGGAAGAGGGCACAGCCGACGAGCGGGCATCGTGCATGATACAGGAGCTGCTACGCTTGATTAGCTTGGGCTCCTCAACGATCCCTTCGGTGCATCCTCAGGATAGAGTAGCATTTGTGCAATTGTTATTAACCATTGCTATTCAGGAGTTGGCCTTTTTGGGGACCCATACTTCAAACTTTCTGGAGTCGCAACGTCTAGGTGCGATTGAGGTGATAGTCCATTTCGGGAACTCAGCCATAGCCGAGTTGGCCACTCACGAAACAGGCCCTGTCAGGATAGAGAGAACTTCTAAACTTGTACAAGTGCTAGAGGGCCTCAGGGTGCCATGCGTTTCTCTCCTAGAGATGGTGGAAGAGCACCGAGTACGAAGGCTAGCGGATGAGGTCTTGCTGGCGCGCATGATGGTGCTCACGTGCACCCGAGCCATGCTCTCTGTGCTCCCTTGGGTGGGGATGACTACAGGGGCCCCCAGGTATCTCACAAATGAGCTTCTCACAATCCTTTCCTACGCTAGACACAACCGCAAGCGAAAGCTTCGCCGAGACAAAAGAACTGCTTACTGGATCAAGATACTTCAAAGGAAGCTCTCTTTCATTGGTATTTTTAAGCCGTTAGGGCCTCTTGAAGAAAATCCCAAACGTCGCACTATGCTTCGCGAAATGATCAGCGGATTCCTTCGACTTAGATATTATGGCAGAAACCTTAGGTTGCGTCTCTGCAGAGTCTCGGACGAACTTCAAAGTTCCATGAGAGGCAACTTTATACACATTTGTAGTGGAGGGGCGGCGGTGGTTCATGAACGGAATCAACCCGGTGGTCAACTGGGTCTTTCCAGCAGCGAGGCTACTCTTCTTTCAGCTGCGCTCCAAGGGGGACTCGACGAGGAGCCAGATTTGTTGTTGTTTTTCGACCCTGAGGGTGCGCCCCGCAATGATGCTGCTTCTTCGCATCCTTCTGAAAATGAAGAACCGTCTACAAGCTCCGCTGCAACTGGTCGGGCTCCGCCAACTTTTGAAGGGCAGACCACAGCATTCTTTCCAAGACCAACATTTACAACTCTAGATGGTGCACACGTGCGTTCATATGCGCTGCTAGCTTATAGAATTGCAAGCTTCATTCCTATTTGGATCGGGACAACTGCATCCGCTTTAGCGTGCCCCATATCACCTAGGCAACTGCAATTCTCAGAAGAGCCGGAACAAGCAGAGTCTTCCGATGACTTAGAAGGAGCAGTCGGAGGAGAGGCCACGCCAGACTCCGCTCAGGATCATCCTAGTCAGAGGGAACATCTACTAGGTGCACCCATCCAATACCGTTCAGACACACAGTGGTCTGAGGAGCCCCCGGTGGAGTCTGAGGAGCAGTGGCAAGCGCCAGAAAGTGCTCCTTATTTGCCCATTGGCATGGCAGTACCTTCTGCGGAGCATTCACTTAGTGCCCAGGTCATTTATATGCCTTGGATACCACCAGTGAGCTCCAATCCACCTACACACTTTCTAGGAATGCATGCGTGGCATGCACTGACGGATCCGCAATTTGCGCCACAATCTGAAGAACCGTCAGCAGTGGAGGAGGAAGCTTCTTCACCACTACACAGCCCCGCAAGTTCTCCTCCACAGCACTCACAGGCGTTCGAAGAAGGGCTACAATCGGCTGAAGCGGAGGATTCAGTGGATGATGAACCGCCAGTGCATGCAGAGTCCTTCCAGGACTTTCAGCTGGCCGAAGGATATCCAGGAATGCCAGTTCAAGGATATATTCTATTTCCACGACCAAGCGCAGGAGAGCATGGTTATCATTTTCCAATGCCCATTTTCCCGATTCCGGGGTCGGTAGGACCTGTACCAGTGCCTCAAGTATTTTTTACGCCAGCTGAACAGCACCCACAGATGTCTGAACACACCCGGACATCGTTCGAAGATACTTCACAAGGGACTGGAGGATGGTATTCATATCAGTATCAGAAAACAGAACTGTTGGACGAGGGAGCCTCCAACGTTGTGTATCTTGACGAGTCTTCACAAGAGACCCACGAACTTCTGGATCAGCCACCAACCCCTCCAGAGCCACCACTACAACCTCAGCCACTCCTACAACCTCAAGTGCTAACTGCTCCAGAGCCACCACTACAACCTCAGCCACTCCTACAATCTCAAGTGCTAACTGCTCTAGAGCCACCACTACAACCTCAGCCACTCCTACAATCTCAAGTGCTAACTGCTCCAGAGCCACCACTACAACCTCAGCCACTCCTACAATCTCAAGTGCTAACCCCTCCAGAGCCATCACTACACCCTCAGCCACTCCTACAATCTCAAGTGCTGACTGCTCCAGAGCCACCACTACAACCTCAGCCACTCCTACAATCTCACGTGCTAACTGCTCCAGAGCCACCACTACAACCTCAGCCACTCCTACAACCTCAAGTGCTAACCTCTCCAGAGCCATCACTACACCCTCAGCCACTCCTACAATCTCAAGTGCTTTCAGGCCAGCTTTACGACAGCTCCATAGAACCTGGCGCTTCGTCAAATGGCGCACCTGTTACTCCTATGCCTGATGTAGAAAGGAATACCGAAGGGCAAAGTTATCCCAGACCTCTACCTAGAAGTATTTCCAATCCTTTCATGTGGTCGCCTGGTGGAGAGAGCGCACTCAATGTTGGGTTATCTCTATATCCTGTTCCACCTCCGCGCGCTGAAGGGATCACTGGTACGTTTAGGGGCTTTGAGGAGGGGATGCCTCCGCCAGGACCGCCCGAGGCGCCTGAGGACGACGGAACTGCCTTCGTGGGGTTCGACGTGGGGATGCCACACCCAAAAAGGGCCCGCAGACAGCGCTGGTAGTTTTGAGAGACCCCTTTGAGAAGGGCTGCAGGAAACCCGGCAGCAGATACCCTTTTCCGTCTCAGTGCCAGTATCTGAAGTTGACGGAGCCAGTAGCGCGTCTTCGCATTGTGCAGCGTCAGAGATAGCAGACTTTCAAGGGCCTCGCAGTGGCAGTTCCCGTTGAGAGCCTGCAGGCGTCTCTCCAGTTTCGGAGGACCAATAATGAATGGAATGGTCGAGGGGTCTTCGCGTGTTTCCGTCGGCGATAGGCCAAGACTACTTGCTGTCAAATCATTCTTGCAGGGTTCGTGGAGAAAGGCGAAGATGCCATAGGCTGCTTAAGGCGCCACCGTCAGCTGCCAGTTTTTGTGTACCACAGGTGCGATGACTTGGTAAGCTGCGTAGATTATTGTACCGCAAAGTAGGGAGCAATCGGGGAAAATCCTGGCGGCGAAAAAACGCATGGTGAATGCACTGGCAGCAGCTATGAAAGGATGTTGGAGCGGCAGAAAGCGCAGCTAGTAACAAATATAGAGATTCAATGAGAAGCCCACTCTTCCGTTAATCAATGCTTATCGCAAAACGTATTGAAGCACTCCAAGTGCCCGTCCACGTGAAGGATAATACGAGCTGACTGAGAAGAGCCTAGCTCATGTCCTCGCAGTTCTGGCCGTGTGTTTCACAAATTTGCGTTCGCCGCCTACGTTTTCACTGTTGCCAAAGGTATTTTCATGGGTAAGCTCAATTGTTGTTTGCATGCAGTGCGCATGTGACTGTTTCATGACTGTGTGCCGGCAAACATTGAATATATGAGCCAGCTGCACTCCGTGCTGCCCCTTTCCTTTCATGTTTCAACAATTTTCGTACTAGAATGCTCTAACGGGGCTAATATTTGCAGGTGCAATGGTTGAAAACTAGCAAGTGTGAAATTGGCACTATGAAAAACAGTGCAGCAATTGCGTCGAAAGGCTGCTGTGCTGTTTTTGTGGATCAAGAAATTTAGTACACTGTGCGACCTAGTGGCATTCCTAAAGTGGTTATCAGATGCAATGTCATAAAAGGACGTAATGGTAGATGTGCTTTCCTTTAAACATACTTTCTAGAGCCAAAGGAGTTCATGTCATGTTGATTATTTTTCACAATGCCCTTTGAAGGGTCACCTTTTGCACCTCGCAGTCACACTAACTTTGGGCTGATATAAGTTATATGTATTTTCACTAGTTTAAAGTTTTCATCACAATGCAGAGCATGACGATACGAAAAGGCAGGCAACAAGCGCAACGAACATGTTCCTGTCAGCTAAGTCAGCGCACTTCAAAACTTCGCTTCGTGACGTTGTAATCCCGTGTAAAAGCGTATGTCATGTCACTGTTGGCGTAAGCATGTTTGAACAGTACTTTCAGGCAACAATACTCGATGGACATCATTAGTGGTCATTAGTGGTCGCAGAAAGTAAAGCATTTTCTAGGGCTTGCGCCCATATTCGTGAGCAAGCATACAAAGACTGATTCGTAGCAATCTCCCTTTTGACCAGCTTTTTCCAAAATGTACGGAGAGACACGCGAACTATTCGATTTTGATGCCGAGGACACGCCTAGCGTAAACAGCAGCACGTGTACATGGAAAAACATGAAGGCTACTGAGTGCACTCACGTCCACACATGACTTTGGTCGTGGGAGCCACAACCAGGTTCATGTATTTACAAGCAAGAGAGCACTATTCGAGTACTCTACGTGGTGTACCATTAAGTCGGGCGGTGTATATATACGTCTGCACGGAAACATCGTGCTTTCTGCCATCGATATCTGAACAGCCAGGGGATCACGGCAGGCTACGCCTCCATGAGGGACTGCTGGCCTTTTTACTTCTTGGACAGCAAACCAGGTTTTTAATACACGCTTGATCTTGGTTCGCGTGATGCAATTGCATAGAAGAAACGCACTCATTGACATGTTTCGCCTTCAAACCTTGTCTTCCGTTTACAGAAAAAGTCTTTGGCTCAAGTTTCGTATGGTGGTTGTTCTTATGTGGAATGAGCAATTATCACGCGTGACTGCGTGCATAAATTGTTGATGAAGGCTTTGGTACCGTGCTGTCTCGTTATTGCCTCAAAAGCCTCGACAGCAGATGTTACATAGGGCTAGGAAAGCCGAATTCCTGGATAATCTGTTTCCTTGGCTTCATGCCATTTTGATCCCGACGAAAAGAGAAGCTGTTGAAGACCACAGCAAGCTTCACAGCTTGTATGCTTGCGGGCCAGGTTTCAGAGTCGGCGTCTCGTGCTTCCCAGGAGGGGCGGTTTCCCTGTGCAGGGACTGCACCCCGTTCTACAATGTATCTCTCACGAAGCTACCGTCAAGTTTGTGCAGTGGTAGGCCTCCTCTACTGTAAATTCAAATTTTCTGTCCCCCACTGGGAAACCTTCTCCTGTCCCCCATTGGTAATAAGAACAGTCCATGTAAACTTGTCTGTCTGTAGTTATTACCCACCAATCAGCGACGATAGTCTCATTAACACAATCGTGGCTGAGACGCCCGCGAGTTCGACTTGCTTTGAGACAATGGCGAGTTCCCATGATCGGCACAGGAGATGGCCCCGAGCCACGGAATGTAACTGGCAAATTTGCCGACTTGTTGTTGGGCCTTCTCCCATGTTCCTTAGACGGCGTGGAGTACAGAAGCGTGCGGGCTCTGGGACAGTCTCACGAGTACTTCACTCCCTGTTAAAGAGACCGGCAAGGCCTTAGCTGATGTCCGGATTTTCGCGCCTCGTGTTAACACATTGTTTATTTCACTTTGTTCATCGGCTCATGCCGTTTTCCACCATAAGCTGCTGGGCCAGTGTGTGGGGCCAAGCCGATCCGTAGGCCCCGTAACCGCTGGATTGATGTTAAACAGGCTTCCACCACTAAAACTTCGAACGGATTTCGGTTTTTACAGTGGAATTTCATCGAGATATGCGGCTGAACGGGGAAGCTATGAGTGGAAGGAGACTTAATTAGCAAGGGATAAGGGAAGCCCCTGAGGCTCGCTAGGGCTGCTGAAGCCGGTGCAACTCCTGCAGCTGCTACTGGTCGCTGACTAGCAGCATGCATTCTTCAGATATCATCGGGACTGCCACACTTCGTAGCTTTTTGTCTGAAGCAGCAGCAGCAGCAGTGCTAATCCCACGACCAGCAACAGCATGAGAAATTCGGCGGCGCAGTAGCTTGAGCAAGCGTGAACTTCCCTCCACTTGACTTAGCGCAGGCGGAAGCATCAGCCTCACCTGTGACAACACTGACGCAAACAGCTGCGATATGTCAATCAAAGCAACGATCTGCGAACTGCAACGTCACGAATAACCTCTCTGGACCCTGTGGAAGATGCCTTCGCTGGAGTGACCTTGAATTACGTCTACACTCCAATAATCAGCAGCAGCAGTGGCGACAATAAACGCCACAACTACAAACAGAAAGATCAGCGCCAGCAAGCTATGGTGTTGCCACTGCTGGACAGCGCGGGTGATGCCGGACGAATCCACTTGCCGCTATGTCGCCCTGAGCGACAGAATAACTACAGAAGGAACGCCAGCAACGCCAGCAGCAGCAAAACAGAGGGCAGGAGCAACAGCAGCAGTAACGCAAGGGGAGCCGAGTCGCTGCAGCGGTCGTATAGGGAGCGATGCTTCTTCCGATATCAGCAGCATCTCATCACTATCGGATTTCTGCTTAACTGTTGAGCCTAATGGCATCTTCAGCTGCAGCAGCAACAGTGGTAGCCCTGTGCACTATGGCAGCAGGGGAAGCGGAGACTTGGGGAGACGACGGCACAGCCACAGCAGCAACAGCCACTGCAGCAGCAGCAGCCAACGGACGAGGGCTACTTCAAGCTTGCCACAGGGCAGAGACGACGAGGGGACGGAGAGGTGCTCAAACTCTTCCTGGGTTTCTCTGCTTCTGCTGTGCCTAGCAGGTGTGGGGCCTCACCTCTTCCGTCACGCGCTTTCTGCTGCTGAGCTGCTGCTGCTGCAGCTGAGGTCGCTGCAGTACAGCCAGGAGGTCCACGGCACTGTGCTAGGGTGTCTGGATGCGGGAGGTCTCGCTGCTGCTCCTGTTGCTGCTGTGTTATATCGATCTCCCGAGGCTGCGCCTAGGGCGCTGTTCGTCGCAACTGCTGCAGCATGGATAGCTCAGCTTTGCGTTGCAGCTGCTTTCGCCGAAAACAGCTTGATCTTAGCAGGGGCAGCAGCAGCTGCAGCAGGACTGGGTGGCGGTGTGGTTGTCGTGCTGCAGCGAGCCATTGCTGCCTTCTTCTTTCCAACCTGGACAGCTGCAGCGATGGCTGCCGCTGTCTGCGGCACGACGATCGCAAAGCTGATGGGCCGGCTGCTTCCCCTCGCTGCGGAAACAACAGCAGTATACGTAAACCGCAGCAGCAGCAGCAAGTATGTCGCCCTCAGCAGCAGTGACCAGCACTATGGAGAAGACGGCGTGGAGACGCTTGCACTGAGGCTGCTGCTGCTGATTTTAGCAGCTCTCAACGGAGCCCCTGTCATTGCTGCTGCTCTGCTGCTTGCCCCCTTTTCCAAAAACAGACAGCAGCAACAACAGCAGCAACAGCAGCGGGAGCTCATGCTGCAGGCAGCAACGGGCTCATACGTTCCCCCTCGACTAGAGCTCGTGCAAGCAGACCAGACAGTGATTTCTCGCCCATGCAGATATGCAGGGAGAGTAGCTGCAGCAGCTGAATCAGCCGCTGCAGCACCCGAAACAGCAGACAGATCGGCACCAGGAATAGGGGCACGAGCAGCAAGCTCTGAATCAGGAGCGAAAACGCTGCTGCCTAGTGAGGGTGCTGGCGCCTTAGACGCAGCTCGGCAGCGACAGGCAAGGGAAGGTTTGCTGCAGCTGTGGAGCAGCAGCTGCTCTCTACAGTCTTGTGTTGAGCCCTGCACTACTGCGTGTCTAGAGGGCGCTGACCCTCAAAATCTATCCAAAAGCAGCCCCAGGACGACTGCAGCAGCAGCAGCAGCGGAAAGAACAACAAAAACGCCACCTGACTCTAAGTGGGCCTTGTTGAACTCCCACACAACACGTGATTACGCTGTGCCCAAAGCAGCAGGATCGATGCGCGCATTACCGCAGGCAGCAGTGCACTCAGCCCCATCTGCACTTCACAGCAGCAGCGACCGCAGCCGCAGCAGCAACAGGCACAGCAGCAGTGAAGGGTTGATGCAGCACAAAGGAGCGGAGCTTCCTCGTGCTGATTCGCAATACGTTGTGCATGTTCTCACAGTGGAGAAAACGCAACACGACGAGCAGCAGCAATGCCAGGACGAACACAACGAGGAATACAGCAGTACCACAGGTGCGTCGCAAAATGACCATCAAAGATGTAATGGATCTCCTGAGTCCCGAAACAACTTTGTAAGGTCTGGAGCAACAGGAGCAGCGGCCAGTCTTGCTGACGAAGCCTCTGCGGTAGCGCCATTTCCTGAAGGCGCCACGAGTCCCAGCAGCAGTAGCTGCAATCCATGCAGCAGCAGCAGCAGCCTCTGCAGCAGCGTGTGCCACAGCAACCACAACAAAAGTGGCACTGGACTTGTAAAGACAACTGAATTAGTGCCAGCAAAAGGCAGGGCACGGAATGACAGCAGCTGCAGCAGTAGCGGCAACGGCTACAGTAGCTGCTGCAGTGCTCCAGTGAGAGTCTCCAACGAGCTCCGCAGTAGTAACAACAGTCGCAAAAGCGTTAACAGCCGCAGCAATAACAGTAGCAGCAGCAGCGGTACAACTAGTAATCGTACTAATTCCAATGCTAAGAGGCACAGTTTTGCCTCGGGTGACCGTTCAGCAGCAGCAGCAGCAGCACCGGTTGAAGAACCTGCTAGAACGGAGAGTCGTTCGAGCCAAACTTCGCTGTCGCTTCCGACAAAAGACAGTCCTGCTATGCAATTGTTGCTGCGTAAGTTCTCCACTTCACACTATTGCACTGATGCAACTGAACCTTCACAGGGGGCGACGCTGCCGGAGCAGCTGCAGCAGCAAGGAGTAAAGAGGCAGCAGGAGGGCCAACGCAGGTTAGGGCATAACAAACAGAGCATCGAGAAACAGAGCCGCCCGTCCACACCTATGCTTGCTGCGGTTCGGAGGGGGGATCGCCTAACATCAGTCCCAACAAATGCGGCAGGAGCAGCAACACGCCGACGTTGCGCTCAACGCGGCTGCCCCCGGTGCTGCTCCGGTGTGAGGACAACATGGCGTCGACTGTCTTGTTGGACGAGAGGTTTGAGCAGAGAGTTTTGGGCCCTAGCTGCAGTGCATGCGCTACTGCTTGCTGCTCTGCACTGCTTCATGGCCTTTGCCTCTTCAATATTCTTTTCAGTTTACCAAGCTACGGCACTCAAAGCCATCTTCCTGGGAGCAGTTGTTACACGTGAGCTTGGGTCCCTTGCTGCTGTTGCTGCGCTGTTGCTGGCGCGGCATCCTTCTGGCTGTTGCTTGTGGTTTGGTTTGTTGCATTTGGGACTGAGGCGGTTGCCAGCGCTCCTGAAGCGGCTGTTAGTCATTTTGTTTCTGTTTCGCCGTTAAGGCGCGTTTGTGTATGAGTACTTGTCCACGCGTTTCTACGTGTTTCGGTTGTTGCGCCTTGTCCGTTCGGGGTGTGCTGTTGCTGCTGCAGTAACAACAGTTTTTCTGCTGCCCCTCGTGGCCATTGCAGTGGACCGACTTGGGGGAAGCCTGCCGCTGCTGCTGGGGGCAACGCTGCTGGTGTCTTTGGCTTTTTTGGGGACAATATCGTTGCAGCAACAACAGCATCGGAACCACGAAATGCAGCTGCACGAACACCAGCCAGCTACGCCGCTGCAGGAACATCCAAATACAGTGGTCCCACAGCAGATGTTCCGTGCCGCAGTCGTTTCCTTGCCCACGCCAGCAGCTGCAAATCTTCGTAGTGATATTTCGGGTGCAGCTTCGGTAATCTCTGGTCTCGGAGTTGGGAACCTAGGGAGAAGCAGCGGCAATGCCAACGAAGCGCAGGTGGCGGCAAACTGTCAGTCGTGGGGTATCACGACAGCTCTGCTGCTCGGCGCTGCCGAAGCCATCATGCCCCCCGTACTGCTGGCCGCTATCGCACATTCAGTACGGTAGGTGATATAGAGACGAACACACTAGAAAGGCTACGCACAGAGACAAAGGGCAAAGACACACACGCGTAGGAATCTAGGAAAGACTCTAAGACCTAAAGGGCATGGCATGAGATAGTGAGGAAGCAGAGGACGACACAGAAAAGCACCAGACAGTGAGAGACACAGATATGAGTTAAAGGGACGGAGATACAGCGATGCAGTGACCGAGAGAGGCCAAAACAGGCGGGAAAATATCACGCGGGATTGAAGTAACAAACACAATGAAACTTTCGCAAGCCTAACGGACGGAAAGGCACTAGATTAGTGAGGGCAGCAATAGAAAAGCAGGAAGAGAAGCAAGCACTGGGAGGCTGACACACAGGGTCGGACATACAAGAGACAGGAGGCAAACAGGAGAGAAACATGTAGAGGGTGAGGGGGACAAAAGCGTACGCAAAGTCTAGAAGCCAGGTAAAGAAGAGACGCAGAATCTATACTAGTGGCCCGAACAGATAGAAACAGCAAGGCACGCAGCAGAGTACAAACACGTACAAAGACGAAGCATCGCAGTTACTCCAATATTTGCTGCTGCCTCTGGTGTGTGTCCCTTCAGGCACACGCCTTCTGCTTTGGGCGTTGCCTTTGCAATCGTAGAGGCGTCCAAAAGCGTCGCTGTGGGATCAACCATTTCCTGCTTTGGTTTTATTGTGACCCGAACCGGTAGGCCTGCTGCGTTAATCCGAAGCTGCCATCCGACCTATGTTCGACCATACCTCTGAGCCTTTTTCAGCGCTGATTCTTTCTCGTGGAGATGTCACAAACAGCTATATGCCATCGCCCAAGAGCAGTGCCGTATCATCTACAACAGTCGCAGCCACAACAGCAGTAACAGTACCTGCGCGAGCTTAATTTTTAGGACCAACAACAGTATTCACCACGCCTGCATCTTGCTCGCCGTCTATATTTCTGAGTTTCAGGTTCATTTACTACGGGTCTTTGGCTTCTAGTGAGTTTGGTCGGCATATCTCAGCTGCTACTGCTGATGTTGATAAGTTGGAAAAAGCTGAGTAGAGATCCGCTTCCGCGGCTGCCCTAAAGCTTACATCTATTCCGTGAGTCCAACCGCGTGTGTAAGCGGTACGCAGCGCAGGCTATGTACCTCGCGGCACAAACTGTACAACGTTGCCGCTGCAGCCGCACCAAGTGAAGCTGCAGCTGCTGCAGTGCCCTGATATTTGTTTTTGTTGCACTTGAAGCAATGCATCGCCGCTGTAACTAGACTGCGGCGAAAAGTTTGGCGATTCTTGGTGGGAAGTGGTGGAGAGTGAGAAATATCACCATGGGCTCACGAATGTGACGAAAAGAGCTGAGAAGATAGAAAAAGAAACGGGCACAACAAAACTTAATGCGGAAACGAAACAGCTAGACTGATGCACAGGCAGACAAGAGTGAGTGGACAACGAGTACAAAACAGAAGAGACACGAAGACCGAGAAGATGCTCTATTCTGTATCGCACGGTAACAGGAAACATGAACACGAACAAAAGCATGGACACAGACACAATCCCACACAATAGGGGGAGGAAGGAGGTTAGGTAGGTTAGGTAGAAAAATGCGGCAAACTCCAAAAGATAGATACCGCAGAAAGACCCCGAGAGATTGACGCCGACGGGAGTACTCCCTGTGGCACGAACCGGCAGGAACAGAAGAGGTCGACAGACAGTGAAAGAGCGCAGGGAGCGCGCAGTCGATATAGAACCAGACAAAGATACTAAAGCGGACATATAACGGACGCAGACATGGAATGGAAGCGGTGCACACAAACAAACTACTGAATAATGGCTGTCAAAGCCGGGGAGAATATGATGAACACAGAAGCAGACAATGGTCCTGTCGCCACCAGAGATATAGGAGTCGCTGAGGGGACAGAAAACACCACGGAGACATGCAAAACGCTAAAACCTTAGCGGCTGATACAATATACATAGTAAAATGCTGGGAAGCGCCGCCTCTGCAGCAGTGAATCCCTGCCAATCCCCCAGCAAGGACTAGAAGTACTCCACAAGCCGCAGACGCTGTGATGCTTATTTGCAGGTACAATGCTTATTTGCAGGTACATGGCGTACCCCAGTGTAACAAAGAAGATGGCAGAGCTGTGGCAATCCTCAGGGCCCCGAGCAGCCGGAGTGGAACTGTCTTTACTGCTCAGCCGCGGATCACAGCTGCTACAACAAAAGTCTCCAGTAGCAAGGGCAGCGAGGTACTAAAACAGCCCCACGGCGTTGAACAACTTTCGAAAAAGCACTGTTGACGAAAGTAGTTAACTGGAAAGAGAAACTCTTAGAAGAGTTCCTCCTCCATGCGAAAAGCACCTTCAGGAAGAGCAGCATATATTGCTGCGCTATCCTTTGCATGTGTTCATGCACTGCAGCGCACACGGTGCTTCTCGTGCTGCTGAATCGTGCCGGTAGGGGGGTTTTTGGTGCTGCTGTTGCGGCTGCTGATGCAATTACTGCCGCATGGGTTGAAGGCTAACCCGTGGACAGCATATTCTGCAAACGCGATGCGGCCATGGACCCAAAAGTGCCTCACTTTAAACGTAATTCGCAGTGCTTCTGTACAGAGGAGCAATGAGGCCTCAGGTTCTGTTCACTGAAAATAGCAGTGCAGAAAGCCGTCGTCTGTGGAGTGTGCACTCATGGAAGCACTTTGGAAGGCCGCCGAACTTCCGCTAGCTGCTGCCCACCAATAGGCAAGCTTGATGCATATCTGAAGGAACAGCTGATTCACTCTGCGGCTGTTTTGGGAAAAAGCATAGAGCTTCCAACTGAACCCTTTCGCTGCAGGTCGAGGCCCCGTGTGCACGAGCACTTGGTGCTCATGCACACGGGGCCTTGCATGCTAGGGGCTTTGTGAATGCGCCTGTAGGTTTAAGTTAAACCCTAAAAAGCAACGTGGCTCCCGCCATGAGAAAACACGCCAGCGAGACGTAGGGGCTGAGTCTGTCACCTATGACGGCCAGTTTCCCTGCGAAGCCCCTAAAACCCTGAGCTTTCTTGTCTATAAGCTGCGGCATAGAAGGTCTGAGGAAGGTGCATGTGCAAATGGATAGCAGCAACACCACAAGCATTGCATGCAGATTCAAGAGTGCCGTCATATTTCCAAAGCAAAGACAGAACGACTGAACAGAAGAATGGAAGTACAGACGAAAGCCCCAAACAGGACACGCTGACCGGCGCCGCGTCACAAGGAGCAAAAAACAATGGAGAAGACGAAAAATACGTATTGTGAAACAGAAAGAGGCATCGCCAGTGCGCGAAGGTGTGCAGCTGGTTGTGGAAGTGCCGTCGACGCCGCCGCTGCTGCCGCAGCTACAACAGCAGTGGCTCAAAGCCGGATGCTGTGGTATCTCTTTCCCTTGGGACTCTTCTTCGAGAGAGCGAGAAATGAGTTCCCCGAAAAACTATTGACAAGCTGGTGCTGCATGCAGCAGCGTCATCAACAAGAACAGGAGCACAAGCAGCGCAGCCCACGGCCTCGGTGCGGCCTGTGTGGGCCGGCATGTGTATCGGAAGATCAACATCAATGAGCCTTGTTGTAACTACGTTTCAATGAATTTGTCAACTTCAAATTGCGTTTCTTCTAGTTCTATTTCAACTGTGAGCAATCCTTGGCCTCATGCCGGCCCGGGGCCCCTCCTTCGGCTGCGCACATTGACTGTATTTTGTTGCCTCCTTTTTTGATTTAAATTTGCCCCACAACAGAGGGCGTCTTTCAATGACGAAGCCTAGGTGATCGGAGCTCAGAGTATAGGGTCTAGGGCCCTAGGCCGCAGGTCGCGGGTGGCAGCCGCCCCCAAGAGGCCAAAAATACTGCGCGGCGTTGCCCTAGCTCGTCTTCCACCGGCTACAGCAGGAGTAGAAGGAACAGTAATAGCACTAGAAACATATTAGGGGGCCCCGATGGACTGCTTGGACTTGCAGTGTCGGGTAAGCTTGCGCGCGCCAACTGAACAATAGAGGGCACACTGCCGTTAACAGCAACTGCGGCCGCAGCAGCGACAGAAAAACGATGTCGGAATCCGGCGCAGTGATTTCTGTAGACAGGCCCCTTATAGGTCACGGTGCAAGCAGCAGCAGGTGCAGCATCAGCACTTGCGGCAGCACTGGTCACATTGAGACTCCCCCCTCACCAACGGCAGCGGCAGCAGCAGGAGCGACAGCAGAAGCACCTACACCCACCGATGAAACCTTTGTTGTTTCTTTTTCATATGCTGATCGGTATCCTGTTAAGCAAAGGCGCCAACCTAGTTCTCCGCACTTCGAAGAGAAGGCGGCCTTGATAGAAGATGCGGCTTCTCCCATAGGGGGGGGTCAGGGGCCCCAGCAGCGTCTGTGGCCTTTCCAGGGTCTCTGCGTTGAGAGGAGAATTTTGAAATGCATGCGGATGGTCCCGCGGCTGAGTTGGGTCTTTCTGGCTGCTGTTCCTGTTGTGACTCTGCTGGCTTGGGGCTGCTGGCTCGTTTGGGTGAACAGCCGCATGCAGATTGTGTTTGCTGCTGAAAAAGCAGCCGCTGCAGCAGCTGCTGCAGCTGCGGAGAAACCCATGCCCTATAGCCACATATCGTCGGACGCTATAAGAGGCATAGCTGCTATTCCAGCGGCCCCGCGGGCAATCTCCTGCTGGGACCTGCAGCAGTACGAGTTGCCTGTGGAGCAGGAGGTGTTGCAGCAGCAAAGAGATGAGCCATACAGTCTGCTGCACGCGGAAGCAGCAGCAGTAGTGCCCTCAGCAGCAGACATCATTGCTGCTGCGGGGTGGGAAGGAGACGCTCGGGACCCTTCCTTCGCGGTTCCCGACTGGGCGGTTCGGCCCCAGCAGCAGCAGGACCAGCAGGTGCCGGCACGGCAGCAGCAGCAGCAGCAGAAGAAGAAGAAGCCATTTGTGTCTGTTTGCACCTACAGGGACCCTCGCTACGGCGTCACAGTGACTGCTCTATTGGCATCTCTTGTTGCCTCGCCTGAGAATGGCTGCACAGACACCTGCGCGCTTCCTTTCTGGAACAGCCCACCCGAGTCTGCACAGAACGCTGCACCTGGGGCTGAGGGGGCCCCTGAGGCCCCGCGGGTGGGTCTGGGGAGCCCTTTGAGAGGCTCAGCAGCAGCGGCATCAGCTGCTGCGGCTCAGGGCCCGAAGGAGAGCCTTGCGGAGGCCCCGGAGCTGTGTCTTTTCTCCGAACCTTCTCTTTACAATGGGTGCAACACAATTGAGGGTCACTTGGCCGCGCGAGGGGCTGCTGCGCCTTCTCGGGGCAAAGGCGTAAAGCTCACGGGCACGCCCGAAGTCGACGCAGCCCTGCTGCTGCACGGGGGCCTCCTGAGGCGCCGCGTGCTGCACTTCGTGAGTGGCTCGGATGCACTAACTCCGAGAGAGTTGTGGGCTCTGGACTCTGCCTTTGCAGCCATGCCTGGGGCCCTTGTCCGGTGGCACGTCATCCCCACCTGCAGGGCCCCCCAGCAGGGCCCCTCAGAACAGGGGCCCCCGCACGGGGGAGTGCTTTCTGGGGGAGCTGCTGAGGGGGAGCCAGGGGAAAGCAGCAAAAGCCAGTACTCAGCTGGAGGCGAAACCACGCAGTGCCTCGAGAGGGCTCGCGAGACCCACTTCGCGCAGATGCAGATCTTCTGGCGCTCCGGCTACGACTTGCAGTACGTGCAGCACGACAGGCTCGACGCTTACTTCCAAGGTGAGGCAGGGATAAAAGGGTGCAGAAAGGAAATTGCAGTTTCTTTCGCAGTTGTTTCTGGGGGCGACAGTCACCGAACGTGGGGAAGTGCAGTCTTTGAAATGTGCACAGGTTCTTAGATCGGTTTGCATGCGTATGAGAGCGTCTATGAAATGTGAACATGTTCTTTTAAAAACATGTGTTTCATGAGATCAACAAAGCCCTGCCCGCTCATGACCGAGGATTGTGCCTAAGGCAAAGAGTTTGCGGCTGATGTGGACACTTGTGGCGTAGGTCTTCCCCTTGAACGGCACGCCGAAGTGCTGTCGCGGCAGCCGCTGGGTCCTGCAGCTCAGCTGCAGAGGGTGCTGCAGCACATGCTGCGGACTCTGACGGCCGACGTGTTGCGGCTTGCTGTGGTGTACAGAGAAGGGGGTACCTACATGGACACTGATGTGGTGTCTGTACAGGAGCTGCGCCACCTTTCGAATTTCGTAGCCTGCGAAGCGCCTGAAGGCCTCACAAGGTTCTCCTGTGACCCTTGCCAGGCCGTCATCTCCTTCGAAGCGGGTCACGAGCGTCTTCGGGAATGGTTAGTCAACGTGGCGCTGCTGCTTGATAATGACAACAGCACAAGCACGGGCAGCGAGGCGGATTCCGGCAGCAGCGGCAGCAGCGGCAGCAGCGGCAGAAGTTTTTGGAGAAGAATTAAAGGGATCCTTTTAGGAGCCGATCGAAGTATTTGGAGTTGGGATGGGCGGGCAGGAAAGTCTATGGCGGAAATGCTAGCAGCGAACGACGAGGCAGAAAAGACGTACAAGCAGCGCAGCATCAGCAACAGCAGTTATGATGCGGATAGGCCTTTTGCAAGAATGCTGCTGCTGCCTTGGGGAACTGTCGGCACAAAGCCGCTGCGGCTAATGCTCGATATGTGGTCCAAAGAAGGCTTACCGCACCTCGACGCCCGCAGGCTCGCGCCCAGTCTCCACGCGTCGGTGACGCAGCAGCAGCAGCAGCAACAGCAGCAGCAGCAAGGACCGCAAAAGGAGCATAATGTGTATGAGAGTCCGTGGCCAGGACTGACTCGCATCTTAGGTAAGGCCCCGCTTCCATCTCCCGAGACGCTGAAGGAGCACCTCCGGCAGTCTTGGGACCTGCAGCAGCAACGACGGCAAAAAGGGGCGAAGGGTCCGGAGCAGAAGCCGCAGCAGCAGGTTGGGAGCGTCGTAAGGAGACTTTTGCAAAGCATTTCTGAGGGCGTAAGCACGGGCTGGACTTGGCTGTTGGCTCTCACAGGCTACGGTCCTTTTGTGAACTTTGGCCAGCATGTGGACGAGCCTGCAAACAATGCGGGGCCGCCATCATCTCTGTCGCTCTACGGGCCCACCGTGTTCTTCCCACTGAGCTACACAGAAGTGGCTTGGGACCGGCCCGCAGTGACTGCAGAACTGCTGTGGTCGCCCGCGAGGGCCCCAGAGGGTGTAGCCTTTTGGGAGGCCCTGGTTGCTGGGGGTCATGTTTACACGTTGCATTTGTACAGCACAATGATTCACTACTCGAAAGGCGACTTTTCCAAAGCCATTCAAGATGCCTCGCATGCGGCCATCGGAGTGATACAGCGCAGCTACTGCCGCCTCCTCTGCGGGGCTTCCCGCCTGCATGTCTTTGGGGGCCCCGAGAGCAGCCGAGAAATTCCGCACAAACTCTCGGAGCTCGCCAAGGTCTGGCTTAGGTACAACTACAACATATGATAGCAAGCGGGACTCCCGCAAGCTCAGCATGTAGCGGGTGCCCCCTATGAGACCCCTAGTCAATGGACCACTTGGAGTCTCCACTTTTTTGACGGACGCTCAAACTTGTCTTTGTTAGGATTCATTCAATGTTCACGAGAACTTCTAGCTCGCAGGGGCCCCCATCGCATGTGCCTGCAGAGGGCTCTTTGTATAGACTCCACAGGAGAGGGCCCCGCTCAATGTGGGCAGCTAAAGGGCACCACCATTTCTAGCTGCTGAAGGGTTTCGGTGAGTACCTTCAAAGACATTCCTGTGAGGATCGCAGAAGAGGGCCCCCTTCCGTCTGTCTGCGAAAAGTCGCATTCTTTAAGCTGCACCAGGCCAGGCCTCTATTGCGCGTTTCCGTAGATCGACTTCTTGTATTTCAAATGCGCACTATCGGGGAGCGTCATGTCGTGCAGCTGCTACACCTTAAGTGGAGCACCAGCGCATGCAGAGGACATTTTGTGCCTCCCTGGGGGCTTCGGAGCTTCTTGTGTCCTTCGAACGTGCACACCGTCGCTGCTGCTCCCGTAACATTTAAAAAGGGTTTACCGTTTGAAATAGGCTGCACAGGCGCCCCTGCAGCATGCCCAGTGCACGCGCACCTTAGACAAATGCGTGGCTTCTGCCCTGTCGGGCGGAGGAAGCTGGGCATTTCCCCCTGTATGTAGAAGGTTTAGCGCTCACTAAGAAGGCCTTTCCGTTCTTGCCAGCAACAAGAAGCGGCATTGCCCATTGACTCATTGGAGGCACCCTTGGGGGGTCCTTAGATTACTATGCAGCACATATGCTTCCAGAAGAGAAGACGGGCGCCTCATAGGATCTTCTTAAGGAAAGGCACACAAGTTGTGCAAAGGGCGGGAATTGGTGTGTTCTTTTTATCCAAAGTAGTTTCCGTCGTTTTAGCTACATTTTTGGCGGGTTGTTTCCTCTTCGCTGTGAGGCGGCCTCTCGCCTCACTTTTTTTAAACTAAAGTATCCCTAAAGATTTCCTATTTGTAGTTGAGTCGTACTCCACTTTTTTGAAGCAGACGGCGCTAAGACTCCTTTTCTTTCATGAAATGACGCCATAGGACTGCCCCCCTTCACTTTCCCTCACACACAAAGGCTGCTTCGACACTCTGTAATACGCACGAGGCTGGCTGTGTCTACAAGTTGTATTACTCACCTTTAGTGTCATTCTGTATTTCATGGTACTTTGGAGGACAAGCTTCCATTCATATGCACCCGAAGATGCATTTATGCAGTCAGTTTCAGTTCAAGACAAAATCAGGTGTAGCCCGTGCGGGCGTGGAACACCCTATACACCTAAGGAACACCCAAAAAAACGGCCCCAACTCGCTGCAGCAGCTGCTGCTGCTGCTGTCCTTGCTGCAGTGGAGGTTGCACTTGGTCTTTTCTGAAGGAACCCTCGACATCCCAGTGCATCAGCTGCAGCAGTTGTTTATTTCCGTTTGCTTCTGAAACGCCCTTGGGGCCTTCTGGCTGCATGCTGCTTGAGGGAATCTTTGACAGTGGGTATTTGTTGTCGTCTCATGTCCGCAAGCATCTCTGCTGCAGCATCTTCTGCAACCATACCTCCTTCCGCTTCTCCTCCCGCTGCTGCTGCTGCTGCGCCGGCGCTGCTGTCGGCGGCGTCATCTGCTGCTTCTTGCATGTCTGCATCCCCCAGGGCCTGCATGCGTCTGAGCGTTTCCCTAGCCTTCTGCACTTGAGATCCTTCTGTCCTTCCAGGAAGGCAATTGAAAATTGAAACAAGTTCAACCTTTTCTTCTTCCGTGAACTTCTTCCGCTGTCCCCAGCCCACCAAACCTGCCAGCGGCAAAGACTCCGAGCGAAAGTCCAGCGGCCGCGGCCCGGGGGTCTTTTGGGGGAAGACGGCATCTGGTGCATCTGTGGGAACACAGCGCAGGCGATGCTGCAGCGGTAATTTTTTGCTGCTGTTGCAGCAGCAGCAGCAGCAGGCAGCTACAGGTGATGCTGCTGCAATTCCTGCTGCGCCAGCTGCACGAGTCACTGCAGAGGCCCTCATGTCGCAGTCAACACAAACGTGGCATGGAATGGCAGCAACGGCACCAGCTGTTGCTGCTGCTGCTGCTGCTCGAACAAGCTGCTGCTGCAGCGAATACCATTCGGTGCAGACACCGGAGGGCACACAGAGAAGCTCAGGATTAGGAGCTGGCAGCAGCAGCAGCAGCAGCAGTGGCAACTGGCTCCAGTGAAACGCACAGCAGCAAATGAAGAGAAGCAAAACCACGCAAAATAAGACAACAAGGCCACAGCAGCGCACAACTACAGCAGCAGCAGCAACGGAAACAGGCCAAATACGGGGTAAGCCAGAACACGCCAACGGCTGCAAGAAAGAGCCGAAAAGCACTAATCAAAGATTGTATGTGGCAAATTCATGAAATAAAAAGTGGCAAAAGTATGCAGAAAGATGCAGAAGTGAAGGTGGTTAACCTGGATGCAGGAACTTGTTCAAAGGCCTCTTGTTGAGCTGCATGGGGTCCTGCCCCTGCTGCACCATGTGCAGCCGCTGCTGCAGGGCTTGCATGCGCGCAGCTTCAACTGTTGCTGAGACATGCTGCCTCTTGACAGCCCTGAAGGCTCTCTTTGTCTTGCACCGCAAGCCCTTGGCCATTTCCCCCAATAAGGCTAAGTCCAAGCCGTCCTGCCTCTAATTGTTCCCGCTGCAGTCTCTGCTGCTGCTGCCGAAGCCGCTGCAGCTACCACTAGCACGAGGAAGGCAGCTTCTGCTGCTGCCTCGGGCGCTGCTGCTGCTGGGCTGCTGCCGTGTCGGACGACGGGTCCGTTAGATGGGGGCCAGCGAGCAGCAGATGAAACAGCAGCAGATGAAAGGGCTTGGAATCTTTTATGGCCTATCAAACGAAATATAATATTCAGCGTATTGTTATGTTGCTCCTGCGAAGAGCCGGTGCATCAACGATGCCAGCAGCAGCTGCCTTCCACACTCCTCGGGCAACAGCAAGACCACAAGCAGCAGCACTGAAACCCTGGTGCTGCAGCAGCAAATATGCAGCAGCAACAAATAAAATGTTGCTGCCATGTAGCGGAAATGCTAGCTGTGGCTTCAACTGCATGCGCCAAGGCTGGGCCCCACACGGAAGCCTCGCCCAAAGCCCTGAGAGGGACAGCTCTCTGTCTCCTAGATTTTTAGAATATTATTTTGGTGTTTTTTGACGTATTTTCATTCAATTATTTAAAATAGCTAATCACATTATTCAGCCCAGTAGTTGGTTGTTTGGTGAGAACACCACACTGTTACTTGCACAGAACACTGTTGTGAAAGAAACAAATGTGCTCGGGATTTAATATATCACATTCATATTTGAGTAGCTCTGAGCACTGTGACTGGCCCAACCAGAAAGGACTGCCAGATTTTAGAGGGTTTGTTGAGACTGCCAGCTCTGCCCACACTGCCTAGGCAGTTGGGCTGCGCCTGTAAGTGAAGTTTATTTCTTCACGGACTGTTGCGCTGTCGCTGTTAACGATATGCTAAAAGATTGGTATATCGAGAAGTTAGAAGCCTAGGGCTTTGCTGGCGGCTACTGGGGCTATGCCCCAGAACAGGAATTCAAGGCGGCGCTACTTGAAAGAAGTTACGGGCCTTACTAATGGGATTTAAAACGTCAGCCATAGGTCTAAATAAAAGAACGAACTAAAGTTACGTTCCGCAATTGAAGCGCATTGCACAGAGATAGAGCGCCAGCTGCAAATCAGCGGGAAAAGCCACTTGCATCTTCGTCCAAAATGCCTACTCTGGCACGGATAACCACTTTGAAGGGGCAAAGGGTGGTCACGGACACATAAATAAACATATTTGCACGTTCAGTAGGTTGTTTTCTTTGCAAATCCGTCGATTCTTTCAAGGCAACTGTGAGGGTGGTCCATTGTACACCAATTGTGAAGAGGCGCCGGTTTCGTGTCTTGGAATCTGTTCCCCAGTGGCCTGGCGATCTTAATTCCTTTTCTTTTGCTGATTCGCTTTTAATTGGTACTGGCAGGGGTTAACTGAAGACAGGTCCCACGCAGCTAAACTGGAAAGAACCTGCGGTTGGCATTCATGGGATGTGCAGTTTTCCGTCTGTGCACGAAGGCTCAGTTGTTGCTTCTCTAGACCATTTTTTCCCCGAAAAAATTAGAGAGCGACGCCGGAGTAGTATTTACTGTTACTTCACAAGCCGGATCCACTAAACAAAAATTTACGGCACAGAGAAATTGGGATTCGGATCCGTAGATCCGTTTAGAGGGGCTTGAAATCAGACTTGCAGCGAAGCACATGGGTCTTGCATTGTGAAAGGAAGCGTTTGTCTTCACCAAATATTGCAACCCAAAAGCCTTGCTCCCCAGCCAGCCAGCACCAGCTGCGCACGTCTCAGCTGCACTTGTGAGGCATGCAGATCAGCTTTTGGAGGCTAATTTAAAGAAGATTCGAACCAGTTGGCACCCACAGTCAAGGCAGCCCGCTGGCCATGCACTGGCAAGAAACTCAGAGCGTAGCACAGTTTACCAAACATCTGCAACACTTTGACACGAAAACACAATCCGAAATGGTCCTAGGAGCATATTTCAAGAGCTATTTCCGCAGTTTACACTTGTGACTGCCGGCATCCAACGCTTGCGCCTTTGCAGCGAAACTTGTGGGCCCGAAACTGCCAGCATAAGCTAGCCACTATCTGAACAGCTGATAATCTGCAAAACCCTACGAGAAAACGGCTGTAGTTCCTTTTGCTGCATTTTGTGGAAGCCGCAGCTCTCAGTTCGTCTAGCTGAAAGCTTCTTGGGTGTAAAGGTTTTCCGTTTTCGGTTTTGGTTCCCATTAAATGCACCTCTTTGGTTTGGGCTGCTGTAACAGCTGCCGCGCGCTGAAAACCGCTATTTTTCAAGTTCAGCTCTAGACAATGGTGCTTCTGACGGAAAACAGAGATGCGGACATAAATTAGGAAGAGGAACTGAGCCTTTTCTTGTTTCTACTGCAGTCTAGGAGCTGGCGAACTTGTTTCTAAGGGAATTGTACGTCACCGAGTGCAGCAGCAAGCCACACCCGTTGCTGTTCCTCCCGCAGCTGCTGCAGAACGCAAGTGCTGCTTCGGTTGCTCCTGCAAATGGATGCCCGCATGACTTAATCTCCCTTGATTTCATGTCCGCTGCATTTGCTGCCACTGCTGCTGCTGCAGCAAACTACCATCTTCCTTGAGAAACCTTGAAAGTGCTGCAGTACGAGCAGAGCAGCCACTGGCTGTGCTGCGCTTTAACGGCAGAGGCTGCCTTGCTGCTCTTCCCGCTGGAGTTGCTGCTTTTGCTGCACCTCCGCCTTTACTGTACTCGCAGCAACCCCCCGACATTCGTTGATGCTGCTGCTGTTACTGCTGCTGTACTGCTCCGTCAAGTGCAGAAAAAGCTGTGTACAGCAGCAAGACTGCTGCAGGTGAAAACGAAGGCAGCAGGGACGGCAGCAGCAGCATCGCCCATCGGCGGACACAGGACACACTACAGCGCAACAGCCCCCTAGTGTAGCGATGCTCTCGTTACGCTGCTACCTCGAAGCCTCTGGGAGGCGCCTGACTAACAGAAGTTATCTAAATACACCTCAGACAAGCAGTTGACTATATAATTTGCATTAGCTGCTGCAGCTAATGCAAATTATATGCCACTTCCGGTGGCAGCTGCTTGCGCCGGGCCTGGGCCAGTTGACAGTGGAAGGCTTAAGGTATGTCTAGTCCTGTGCCATTAAATTAATTTGGTGTATTTTCCGTGAATTTTTGTGGTCGTTTTTGAGCAGCGTCGATCGCGCAGCAGCACGAGCAGCAGCACGAGCAGTCGCAGGCTGGCGTGGGTGGCGGTGCAGCTGCTGCTGCTGCTGGAACACTGGCTCTGTGCGTTGCAGCGGTGCCTCGCGCTGCTAGCGTTCTACAGCGTTTGCTTTAAAAGGGAAATCAAGAAATTAATAATGTTTGGCATTGGGGTGGGGGACGAGGCGTGGGAAGCTGGGCAGGGCTTCGATGGTGGAGCGGAGGCGCGCGTCCGCAGCAGGGTCGCAGCGCATGTGGGGGCTGGGCTGTGGGGGGGCTGGCTGCTGCGGGCGCTGGGGAAAGGACGGCGCAGCAGCAGGATTCAGGGCGAGGGGAAAGCAATCCGTGGTTTGAAAGCGGGTTTTGCAAGTAGTTGCGTGCGAAAGTATTGCGGGCCGTTAGCGGGTTTGCGGGTGGCTGCAGTGCTTGAGCGGAGCTGTTCGCAAGGTGAGCTGGGCGCGGTGCTGCTGCGATGTCGGGGAAAAAGGGCGAGTCCGGCGCTGCAGGGGAGGCGTCTTCGGGCGCTCCCGCTGCTGCTGCTGCTGCGGGGGGCGCAGCAGCAGCCGCGGCGCTCGGCCCGCAGACCCGCGAAGACGAACTCGTCTTCGGCGTGGCCCACATCTACGCCAGCTTCAACGACACCTTCATCCACGTCACCGACCTCTCCGGCCGCGAGACTCTCGTGCGCGTCACCGGCGGCATGAAGGTCAAGGCTGACCGCGACGAGTCTTCGCCCTACGCGGCCATGATGGCTGCGGGCGACGTCGCCGCCAGGTGCAAGGAGTTGGGCATCACAGCGGTCCACGTGCGCGTGCGCGCCACCGGCGGCACCAAGAGCAAGACCCCGGGGCCCGGCGCCCAGTCCGCGCTCAGGTCCTGCTGCTGCTGCTGCTGCTGCTGCTGCTGCTGCGGGGGTTGGGGTGGGGTCGGGGGGCTGCGGCTGGGGCTGCTGGGGCTGGGGCTGGCGGGTGGGCGATGCGGGGAGGAGGGGGGGAGGGTCGGGGGAGGTGTTACTGTGGCTGGGACGCGGGGGGGACATTGCTGCTGCTGCTGCTGCTGCTGCTGCTGCAGGGCACTGGCGCGCTCCGGCCTACGCATTGGCCGCATTGAGGACGTGACGCCGATTCCCACAGACAGCACCCGCAGAAAGTCCGGCAGAAGGGGCCGCAGGCTGTGAGCAGCAGCAGCAGAAGGGACCGCTGCAGCAGCCCGGCTGCTGCGGCTGTGGCTTGCGCCGTTGCTGCTGCTCTCGCGCTTTCAGCTGCCACTGCGAGCTCGGCCACAGTAGCAGCAGCAGCAGCAAGCAGCTGCTGCAGCTCCTGCTGCAAGTAGACCCCAAACTTCATTTTTCACTTTCAACTGCAGTCGCGGCTACACCGCCGGCGCTGGCGTTCCACTGAAACCCCCAGCAAGGGTTTAGGGTGTAGGAGCCGGGCAGAGGGCTGTTGCAGCTCTAGGCCCTAGGGTTAAGGGTTTAGGGTTTGTGGGCGGGCAGCTCTAGTCCAGCAGGCGTGCAGAAACGAGTATTGGGGGAAGCAGCAGAGCCGAGGTGTCCGTACACCCCACGTCTGCACTAGTAAACCCGTAGAAAGTGTAGCGCGTCAGCACTTTTTTCGAGGTCTTCCTAGAGCCTCCCGAGGGGGCGTCTTGCTGCTGCAGATAGCGGTTCTGCTGCTGATGGTTGTGGTGTTTCTGCTGCTGCTGATGGTAACGCTGCTGCTGCTGCTGATGGTAACGCTGCTGCTGCTGATGGTAGAGCTCTTGCTGCTGCTGAGGCTGCTACAGCTGCTGCTGCTGGGGCCGCTAGTGCTGCTGCGACTGGGACTGCTAGTGCTGCTGCTGCTGGTAAAGCTCTGAGTGCTGCTGCTGCTAGGGCTGCTAGGGCTGGGGTTTGCTGGACTAGGGTTGGGGTTTAGGGTTGGGGTTTTGAGGCTCTAATTACACGGAGAGCAGATCGGGGTCTAGAAGAAGAAGGGTTTAGGAAAAGGAAAAAGTCTTTTGCTGCAGCACTTATATAATCGAACTGCGCCTAGGCAGCGAACAGCGACAAACAAGGCTTGAGCTAGCTAGCTGCCGCACCGGCTAGCTAGCCAGCCAGCGAGCCAGCTGGCTAGCTAGCTAGCTAGCTACCTCCCATGCCAGCTGGCTAGCCAGCTAGCTAACCACCTTGCTAGCCGCGCCGGGGGACGCACCTATATGGCTACGCAGGCTAAAGGAAAACCCCTTGGCTAGCTGAGTCATCGTTGGCTAGCTGCTGGGAGCAGCTGACAGCTTCCTTCGCGGTCACCGCCCTTGGCCAGCAGCAGCAGCAGCAGCAGCATTGCCTGCTTCCTCAGTCTGCCGCTGCTGTGAGAGCAGCAGCTGAATGTCCTTTGGGGGCCCCCATACCGGCAATGTGCCCACTGAAGAAACGCAGTCACATACACCGATAGCTAGCTAGCTAGCTAGCTAGCAAGACAGCAGCACTTACCTGTCTTCGCAGGACAGCCCTTGGCTAGCTGTCGCCTGTTGGGGACAAGAGAGCCAGCTAGCTATTTCTAGAGTGGACGAGCTAAGCAGCACTTCAGAGTGCCCACACGGTGCTGCTAGCTAGCTGGCTAGCTAGCTACAGCGCACGAGAGCTATCTACCGAGTTGGCTAGCTGGTTGATGAAACTGCCACTCAGTAGCTAGCGATCAAGTGAGCCAGCTATCTAGCTAGCTAGCTAGCTAGCTAGCCAGCGCCTTACAGTGGGAAACAAAGAAGCGGCGCATCTGGGCAACTGCTGAGGCCGAAACAGCCGGGGGTCTGTACACCGCGAGCAGCAGCAAATCTTCCCCCATTCGCGAAGAGCCCTGAGGAGGCCCCAACGCAAGTTGCTGCTCTCAAGCTGCTGCTGCTGCTGCTTCCCGGGGGCCCCAGACTAGCTGCTGCAGCAGGTAGCAGCAGGTAGCAGCAGGAAGCAGCAGGTAGCAGCAGGTATCAGCAGCGAGCAGTTGGTAGCAGCAGGTAGCAGCAGCGAGCAGAAACTAGCAGCAGGTAGCAGCAGCGGGCAGCGGCTAGCAGCAGCGAGCAGCGGCTAGCCACAGCTAGCAGCAGCTTGCTGCAGCTAGCAGCAGCTCGCTGCAGCTAGCAGCAGCTAGTAATACAGGCTCAAGAACATCAAACCTACTGAGCGCTTCTAGGACAACGCCATTAACACATTTCTGCCTTCTGCCGCGCACTTGTGAGGGAAAAAACTAGGGTTTAGGGTTTAGGGTTTAGGGTTTGAGGGCTGTTACCTTCAGTATGGCGAGGCCCTCCGTGTCGTCTCCAGTGCCGCGACGGCAAATAATCAAAAAGGGGGAAAACCTGAGGGCCCAAACCCTAGCCCTAACTTCAGCCTGCTTTGCTAAACCCTAGACCTGCACCCTAAACCCTAAACCCTAAACCCTACCTGGTCACGGGGTACCTGTGCCCCGAAAAGCAAACCCCCTCCGCTACAGTTTTTTCTCGGTTATCGAAAGCTTGGGCCAGCGACCTGCAGCAGAAGGGCAGCACTTGGGGTGACTTCGGTGTGGGGCCCAGCTAGCTAGCTAGCTAGCTAGCTAGCTGGCTAGCTAGCTAGCTAGATGGCTGGCTAGCTAGCTAGGCCTCAAATAAAGCACTTAGGGCCACTTCGGTGTGAGGTCCAGCTAGCTAGCGAGGCCCCAAGCCCAGGACTCTGGGTCACTCTGGTGTGGCGCCTAGCTAGCTAGCGAGCTGTGCCTCAAGCCCAGGACTTGGGGTCACTTCAGTGTGGGGCCTAGCTAGCTAGCCAGCTAGCTAGCTATCTAGCTAGCTAGCTAGCCCTCAAGTCCAGGCCTTAGGACCCCTTCGCTGTGGGTTCTAGCTAGCTAGCTAGCTAGTTAGCCTCAGGACCAGGGTCACTTGGCTGTGGGGCCCACCTAGCTAGCTAGCCACCTGCCCAGTTAGCTAGCTAGCCACCTAGCTAGTTAGCTACATAGCTAGCTAGCTAGCTAGGCCGCAACTCCAGTACTTACGGTCACTCAGGTGTGGGGCCTAGCAAGCAGCTAATTCCGTGCATGCGGGCCTGCGGCAGCAAGTTGAGTAGCTGGAGGCTTCTTTAGGGTTTAGGGTTAGTGTTAAGCGCTAAAACCCTAATTTGAGGGTTTAGGGTTACAGGAGATTCGCCGGCTGAGGGAAAGTTGCTGCCACAGAGAGGCCCCCCCCAGTAAAAACAGCAGCAAACTGCCACTCCTTGTGCTGCTGCAGCAGCCGCTTTGCTGTTTGCGGAGTCATCAGCATGGGGGGCCCCTGCAGGCTTTGCTGCAGCCGCTGCTCCCCGCCCTGAAAGCCGCACGCGCAAACCCTAAACCCTAAACCCTAGGCGCGGAGCTCTAAAGCTCGCCGTGGCGTGCACAGCTGCAGCTGCAACAGCAACAGCAGCAGCAGCTGCTGCAACCGCGGGACCTACTGGGGATGAATAGGAGTGAAGAGGCAATAGCACAGAGCTGAACGAAGCCATTTTGGCACCATGCTGAAGCACTTTGCTGCTGCTGCTGCTGCTGCTGATGTCGCAGTTGTGGCAGCTTCTGCGGCCTCTGCTGCAGCAAATACCGATGCTTCTGAGTCCGCTGGAAACCCTGCAGTGCCTTTCAGTACGAAAAGAGACCTGCAGCAGCGGCAGCTGCTGCCGCTGCTGTATAGAGGGCAGCAGCTGCTGGTGCAGACTTGGCTAGGCAGGCTGCTGCCGCTGCAGTTCTGGCTACAGAGGCTGCTGCTGCTGCTTTGGGGTCAACAACAACAACAAATGATGCTGCGACCCTAGATGCTGCGGCTGCTGCAGCTGCTGCGGTTGCCGCTGCTGCAGCTGCTGCTGCTGCAGTCTCGACGGCAGTTGTCGGCGCTGTCCACAGAGTGCAGCAGCGACAGAAGCAGCAGCAGTGCAATTTGCTGCTGCATCGAGGTCTGTTAAATATATGTTGCGCGCTTTAATGTGCACATGCATGCGTGGTCCTGCGCTGCTGCAATATGGTGTGTTGGCTGCTGGCGGTCTGTCCGCAAGGCAGCAGCAGCAGCAGCAGCAGCGCCACCGCCTTTCCTTTGAACTAGAGCAATTATCGAAAATCACAAAAAATCAAGTGCCACGAGATGGCAGCAAAATAGCACGAGTTTGCAGGCAAAAGTTCAGTCTGAGTGTGTTGAAGCTGAGCCCCCAGGCTGCGCAGTGCTGCCCATTTTGAAGCCAGCAATAACAAGGAAGAGCTATCATTGAAAAAGCAATTGCTTCTTCTTTAAATATATTTTCACAAAATAAAGACAATACCTTCGTCAATCCAAGCCTCCGGTTTCTCTCCGTTTGAGTTGGGATAGCTGCTCTAATGTGGGGCCGGAGGGAGCACACAAAAGCACGTGTCTGCCTTTATGTCTTATTATAGAAAGATTTAAGTCCATTTAAAATGATAATAAACACAAAAATGACAAAGACGAGAACAGAGAAACCTTTTTCTCGCGGGAAACCGAACGCGGCGTATCCTGGGCGGTCAGCAGCCTGAGGCTCTGGGAAACGTTTCTACAGAAGCAGCAGCAGCAGCGCAAGCAGCAGCAGCAGCAGGAGAAAAACAGCAGAAAGAGAAGCAACAAACAGCACAGAAACCCGAGTGAAGGTTTCCCATGGGGGACTCTCCATAAAGGGGATGTCTGGAGAGCAGGATCTTCAACGACTAGGGAGGAAAGTTACAAATTTGCAATTAATAGAAGTAGTTAGCTACAACGAAGGGAATGGAAAGCTGGGGAGGGAGCGCGTCGACCCGGGATCGAACCAGGGACCTTTAGATCTTCAGTCTAACGCTCTCCCAACTGAGCTATCGACGCCGCGACGGGTTCTCACCTTTGTTTTCAAAAACAAAATTGCGAAGATTTCAACGAGAAATTCTGCATTATTTGAAATCCTATTTGAAATTCAAGTCCTTTTTGTCAGAAAGTTTGCAGCTGCGAGCTTTGAGCTGCAAGGAACTGCTTCAGCGGAAGACTGTAGGGGTTATGGAGCTCCAAGAACTGGAATCTGCAACAGAAACCAAACAAGATCCGATCTAAATAGTTTTAATTCAATTATTAAGATTTGAATTATCTAAATAGTTTTAATCCAATTATTACTATGAATAATTGAATTTATTGACACCTGAAGTCCTGCTTACATCCCTGGGTTTCCGTTTTGAATAGTTTTAATTACGAGTATACAGATTTGAATTTACTGCCGCCTGCAGGTCACTGGATCCCGGGAGCCCCCGTGTTTCCACCGAAAGCTTGACTCAAATCCTGAAATAACTTTTACAAAAAGTGATTTCAAGCCTTTGGAAATTGAATTTTGCAGCTTGAAGTCAGGAATTTAGCACGGAATGCAGATTTAAAAGGCTCATAATCCCTCTTTTTAGAAACAAACATAGAAAATATTCGGACAATTTTGATAGGAAAAGAATTCGAGTACTTTTGAGCATAAATTTATTCTGAGAAAAGTAGAATGCAGGGGTTGATTGCACAGCGCAGCCACCCCTAAAAGGTGCCATATTATGCAAACAAGACCATTGCGGTATGTCTGTTCCATTTACTTAGGTTGAAGCTGTTTTGGACTTGTTGACGAGTCAATAGAAGCTCAACACAAAGAAGGAATACTGTAAATATTGAGGAGTTTAAACTGTGTGGCATGTTGGCGAAGGCGAAAGCGCTTGACAGAAACGTGCAGCAGTTCACGACCAGCAGCCTGGGCCACACTGTAGTGCACTTTGGCGAATTCTAGGCAGTCAAGTATCATAGAATAAGCAGTTTGATCTATTTATTCTGCATTCTTGGCTCTAAAATACAAGTAAAGTTCAATAAGTTGCAGAAGACAAGATCTGCTGCACTCAGTGAGCAAACTAGCCCAAGAAAACCCACCAGCGGGCCCCCAATGGACCACTAAAGAGAATCTGGCTTTCGAAAACAAAGTAAGTACTGCACCCTCAGTTACACCTTTGGTAATAACTGGTGTAGCTCTTAGGCAGCCCAAGACATACCTTAGGGCTTGCAGTGGGCAAAGGAACCTCGAAATGCTGAGGCAAATCCTCAAAAAACGTGAATTGTTTCAAAGAAAAACGTTTCAAAAGTGGTTTAGAAAGCCTAGGATACCCAGTGGAGTTCACTCCAGGAGGAAGCGTCTTTCGCAGATCTTGACTATGGCCCAGCAAGGTTCTTTCACAGTGGCGAAGCACTGCTGAAAGTACTCTGGAACTTTAATAATTAGTTTTCTAACTTAAAAATACCAATTAGCTGCGTGAGACAGCGCATCCAATGA